CAGGGACTTCACCGATGAGGTAGGAAGTTTATGGGTTCTTAAAGACTCTTGTGCTTTTACAAAAGGGTAGTTAGACTCTTATTATGTGTATATAGGTGTATATGTACTTGTGTAAATTGTTTGTGGATTGAATTAAGACAGTAGTTGTGGAAGTTGAAAGAATTAGTTTTTCTATGATCGTGAAATCCAAAGAACAAACAGTTTTACTGTTGTCCACTAGGTGGAACTAGCAAGACATTTTTCCAAGCAAGCATACTTCGTGCTCACTATACAATATTAATTTGCTTTATCTCAAGATTTTAAATATGCTTTTTTTCCATGCTTCTGTTTGTTTTCTTAGAGTGTTCTTATGTACTGTACAATTTAAAGTAAAAAAGGCTTATCCCTTTAATGCATTAGGTTCTTAATACATTAAATGTAAATTTATATTAGTGTATATGGACATCAACATTAATCTTATTAAGACTTATATAAAAGTAGTGTTCATTGTTAGTTCATTTTTAACTAACTCTAACAATCGATGTGGGGCAGTCGTGGCCTAATGGATAGAGTTGGACGTGTAACCATAGGCGTAGCTTGACGTTTGAGCTTGGGGGGGTGGCAAACCGAACCGGTGGATTTGGTCAGACGTACTTTTAAACACATTCACATTCACATAGAGCAGTGGCAAGTGCGTGAGGTTGTCATGGTAACCACATACATTGCCCACGAATTACAGCTGCGCTTCTATTTTGCCACATTAAACTTAGCAATAAACACCTTTAAACATGTCTGTCAAAACGATCTCAAAGGAGGCTTTTATTAAGCAAATCAAGGAGTGAATTACTCGTCCGCTGTTTTAAAACAGACATTTGTTGGGCTTGATTCAAGTTAATGCACAATGAGGCGCACACTTTTTATTTAGTCTTACTGAATAGACGATAAACAGTTTATATTCTAAAATCTATTTAAAGGTTGTGTTCTGTGAAAATTAAATAACATTTGGATGTAAATGGTCGGCATAAAAGTAGTGTGAGTCTAAACCGGCTGCGTCCTGTGGATCACCTTTATCTGAATGTTCGGGTCCGGAATCATCAAGCACAGCATTAATATCTTCATCGGAGTTTTTCGTTGTCTCCAGATTTCTCTGCAGTTCGTGTATGTTGTTAAAAACGCGGAACATCATTTTATTCCACACAACAGGCAAGCATTACCGTTAAGTCTATTATCCACCAAAATGCAGATTCGTCATGTGACAATTCTTACACAAATGAGATTGAGGGAGACGTTAAGTTTGTTTTGATTTATTAATTTACTTACAATGATAATTTAAAATGTATTAACTTTTACATTTATTATTAACTACATTATATGCATTTTTACTTCATAGAAAAACTTTATAAATATTTAGTAAAATTCTTAAATTGCTATGGGGGGCCTACGCCCATGCTTGTAACCTGAAGATCGCGGGGTCAAATCTCAGGTCTGGCAGGGATTGTAGGTGGGGGGCTCTCTCCACCCTCAATACCACGACTGAGGTGAGACCCTTGAGCAAGGCACCGAACCCCCAACTGCTCCCCGGGCACCGCAGCATTGGCTGCCCACTGCTCCGGGTGTGTGTTCACGGTATGTGTGTGCATGTTTGTTCGCTACTCAATGCTGTGTGTGTGCACTTGGATGGGTTAAATGCAAAGCACAAATTCAAAGTTGGCCACACGTCACGTCACACCTTTCCTTTCCAATATATACAGTGCCTTGCAAAAGTATTCAAAGACATTCATTTTCATGTTTTATATTGATGACTGCTTTAAATTCCTTTTTTCCACATCGATCTACACTCCATACACCATAATGACAAAGCAAATAACAGCAAATAAACTTTGCAAATTTATTAAAAATAAAAAACTTGAATGATTCCATTGCTTGATTTGAAATTTAGCTCAGGAGCATTCATTTTGCTTGTAAATGATACCACACTTTGAGTGAAGCTAACCTGTGGCAAATTCAATTGAATGGGTATGATTTGGAAAGGCACATGCATCTTAATAAAAGGTCTAACAGCTAAAAATGCATATTAGAGCAAAGACCAAGCCCTGAGGTCAAAAAACTGTCTGTAGAGCTCAGAGACAGGATTGCATCAAACCACACATCTGGG